TTTTGGCTACAAAACGGATCATCAAGAAAAATTTTTGAAAGTTCTGCACAGCAATATTTTGCATTTATTAGTGACTGTTGTAAAATTTATTCAAGCAACAGAGGTAGAAACTTTTGATTTTTTTTTTGTTCTCTGCTTCTGCTTGATTTTCATAAACTGCAACCAACATCTGAGTTTTTTAATTTATTACATGAGTTTTCTATTATTCTTTGTGGTCTTCTAAAGCAGTAATTTCCGCTTTCAGATATATTTGAACCTGGACTAGAACTGCAAAGTAGACAGTGCCATTTAGCATAGTTGTGACGTTTTTTGAACCAATAGATTAAGTTAAAATTTTTTCGGGATATTGGTGTTTATCTCGTTTTTTGAAAAGGTAACTTTGATACCTCTTTTGGAATAGAACTTAAATCAAGCGTTCTATAAATGCCAACTAAAAATTTGTTTTTTCAAAAAACTAATTCTCTCATCTTCCAGATAAAAAGATTAAACAAAAATAATTCACGATCTGTATGGCAAGAAATCAAGTTTTTGCAAATATTACCTCAACAAAAGCGATATTTCTGTTTTTTTCTGCTGTAATAGGAATGATGTTATTACAAGCAGCATTTAGTGGGACTCTGAAAAGTAGGACGCTTTTCTGGTATTCAAATGTATATTAGTTTGTAAAACACTTGGCCTCATTGAGTCAGGATTACCTTCAGTAGCTGTTTTCTAAAAACTGCTCATAATTACTCAGTTTGCTCAAAACTAGTGAAGAGAGTTTTAATCAAGTAACAAAGTATTGCAATTATTTTATATATGAACCTCCTAATAAATAAAGAATTTTTTGAACTTCTTACACAGAACTGTTTGGTAAAAAAAACAACAGAAACATTGAGGCAACTCCATTTTCTAGTTTATTATTTGGAAAACCTAACGCCGATCAAATCTCCAAAGATTCTCTGCTGGATTACTACCATTAAAGAAAACCATGAAACGAAAGCTGCAATTGTTAAGAAAACTTGGTGTTTCAAATGCGACAAGTTAGTATTAGCTCTTTATTCTGAGATTCAGTTTGCTTTACCAATATATTAACACTTATTTTTTTTTGGCTGCCACCAGTTAAAACGCTAAGCGGTAACTGATAGTTATTTGTAAATTTCGTCAATGTTTGTATTAAGAAGATAAAATTGCGCTTCTGATCTATCCCTTTGGCTTTGAGAGTACATGAAAAATCTAAGTTGAAAAATAAGCACAAGAATAATTTGAATTATTTAGCTTTATTTATAATTTTTTTGTCGCCATTTAGATGTATTTTCATATCATCCGAGGCTGATGTTACGCTACCAGCAGTAAGGCTAAATATCACTGAAGGAAGAGATTATTTGTGGGGTAAAACAAAAACTGCATTAAATTACATATATAATCATTACACTTCTTACGAGTGGTATTTGAAGGCTGACGACGACACCTATGTAATTGTTGAAAATTTAAAGTAAACGCTGATTTGCTTTCCTATTTTCAAATATTTACTGTTCTACAAATATCTCCTTTTAAGGTTCAAAATAAACGTTACTGTTTACACTTTATCAGTCAACCAGAAAGACGACTTTTTGATGAATATTGAACATCCTACCATATTACGGTTTTCTAACAGAGACCAAAGAAGAGAACTTTTAATCACAGAAAAATTCCGCAGTTGTAAAGAAACTCATAAAATATATTAAGCAGACCTTTTTGTGGTGCACCTAAACTGTTCTATGATTGATTTATTTTGTCACTAAAGTTATTTTTTAGCAAATGGCTTTCTTTTTTGGAATTTTTAGCTTTTTTTTTTACTTTTAGTGGTCCTCTGTAAGTTGAAAAATACACATTTGCCTTCAAAAGAGTTGAATAGAATCTCTAATGAAATACCATCAAAAGTTAACATCAAGATATAACTGACATTCTGCCTTTTATTAACTAGTAGTATTAAACTTACTGTAGTGTCAGGAACTTTTTAGGTATTTCTTATATAACCAGTCATGTGAGGAACCAGTTTATTTTGGTGGAAGGCTTGATGCAGAAATAAAAAATGGATATATGAGCGGCGGCGCTGGTTACGTTCTTTCGCGTTATGCACTAAAAAAATTTGTAACTGAAGGATTGCCAGTAAGCTTGTTTTTAATATAGTTTTAAGATGAACTAGACGAAGTCAAAAACCAGAAGTGAGAAACAAAAATTAATTGTTTTGCTGTAATTCAAATAAATTATATTTATCTACTATTTCTCATGTACAAGTCGATAACAACTATACAATTTCCAGTCATAATAGTTTAAGAATATCCCTTTCACAGTTTAATAAACTTGATTTTTGTTCAAAACCGATAAACTGTGAGCAGTTTACTTTTATGCTTTCTTTTTTTAAATTATACTTTGCTTTTTTACAAAAAAATTTCAGGACAGAAATAATTGTGCCTTTTATAATAAACTCTACGAAGACGTGGAACTGGCACGATGTTTGGAAAAAATTGGAGTGCAGCGTGGCGAGTCAAGAGATGTGGAAAAGAAACACAGGTCAGGCAAAGCGATAAAAAAAATCTTACTTTTTTTGTACCGTTAAATGATACCGTTCTGCTTTATTTTTTCTCCAAACAGCGTAAATTTTAGAATCAATTTAGTAGGAAGATCAAGACGTTTGACTAATAAATATAAAAAGAAACAATTTTTGCAGAATATTCCCGTAAATTTTTAAGTCGCTTTCTCAAAAAAATCATCGTAAGGAAAACCTTCTGTAATTAATGGCTGGAGAAAGTGTATTATATTTTTGGAAATTATAAACAAAAATCGAAAAGTGTTTACACGATTAAAAAGAATAATCGAAAGATTAAAATTGCTGTTATTAGCAAAAAAAAAATGCGCATCTTGAAGAGATCAGTTTCAAAAAAGATTAGGAGGTAGTGATTTCACAAATCTGTTTATAAAGTGCAAAAAAATTGAAAAGGCTAATAATTTTTATCAAAAATTATTCATTAGCAGCATATGGCTTTTCTTGCTCTTAGTTCTCTTTTTTCTACCAAATAGGATAGTTGCTTCCTACCGTGCTATCTTTTTTTGAACATTTTTCTTTTAGGTTTTTTTTTCATTTTTTTTTTGTAAATCTGCATTGCATAGAACGTACACTGTTTCTTGGAATGACACTGTGACGATCAAATTCATCCTGTCTATTTTATCAGATAATGCTTTAAATTAGAAGGTCTATTAGTAGCCATGTTTCTTTGTCAGCTTGTAAATTTACTTCCTAACAGTTTTCTTTGCCTAATGAGGAAGACACTAATTTTTTAAGAATAGGTGCACTGCCAATACATTCATACGATGCTTCACAACTTATTCTTGTGACGTATAAC